AAAAAAGAGGTGGAAAGAGAGAGAGAGAAAGTGGTGGGGACATTTTGATAAAGTGGAGGAGTGGAGGAGTTATAGTTCAATATAGTTGAGCCCAGTTAGTATCATCATCACCAGTTTCTTTAGCAGAGAGAAAGAGAGGAAAAGTGAAGGACCAGGACAACAATGTCCAGCAGCAGCAGCCAATTTAGAATTTAAAAGAGGCGAATGATGGAGTCACGCGACGGGCCGACGCCAATCCATTTAACTGGGTAGAAGGGGAAAAGACCAAATTAACCTCAAAAATCCAATTAATTTTGCAAGCACACTTACTGGGCACCTCACAGAGCTCCTCCACCTTGCGAACGTAATTTTGGGCCGCCTGCGGAAGCTCCTCAAAGCGACGACAGCCGGCGATGCTCTGCTTCCAGCCGGGCATCGTCACGTACTCCACCTGCATTCGATTGAGGTCGTTGGTGTTGCCGGGCGGAGTCACTACCTCACGGCCGTCCAGCAGGTACTTCGCGCCGATCTTGATCTCATCGAGGCCGTCGAGGACGTCGAGCTTTGTCATGGCCAGGCTGATCGATAAACAAAAAAAGGATTAGTCCCGATTCTTAAAAACACCTCCTCTATTTCCACCCACCCAGCATAGCCGTTGATCATGTTGGAGTAGCGAAGGAGAACGGTGTCCAGCCAGCCGCAGCGGCGCTTTCGCTTCGTGGTGACGCCCACCTCGCGCCCAGTTTGCTGCAGGTACTCCCCGGTGGCGTCCTTCAGCTCGGTGGGAAAGGGGCCATCGCCGACGCGGGTGCAGTAGGCCTTGGCGACGCCGTACACCTCGCCGATGTGCTTTGGGGGAATGCCCAGGCCAGTGCAGGCGCCGCCGGCGGTGCAATTGGAGGAGGTCACAAAGGGATATGTTCCTGATCGGGGAGGAGGAGTAGGGTTGAAATAGAAAAAAAGTTAGTTTTAAAACAGACAGAAAGCTAAACAAAACCGTTCTTACCAAAGTCAATGTCGAGCATGGTGGCATTTGCCCCCTCCACCAGAATCTTCTTCCCCTGGCGAATGGAGTGATGGAGAAAGGAGACGGTGTCGGTGGTGCAGGGGCGGATCTCATTGGCAAACGCCCGATAGCGCTCCAGCTCGGCGTCAATGTCAATCGCCAGGTCGGGGTACTGGCTGGTGAAGGCGCCCGCCAGCGAGCGAAACCTAAAGCAGAAGAAAGAAAATAGATGTTAGTTTCCACCAAACTCCCAAAAACGCTCCAAAAGACACTCACTTCTCCTCAAACTGCTCAAAATTGAGCAGGTCGGCCACTCGAATGCCCGTCCTCGCCGCCTTCGTGCTGTACGTCGGCCCAATGCCCTTCTTCGTCGTGCCCAAACTCTGGCCCTTCTGCCCCTTCGCCTGCTCCTGCAGCCCATCGACCGCCTGGTGAAAGTCGAAGACCATGTGCGCCCGGTCGGAGATCAGCAGCCGGCTCTTCCAGTCCTTCAGGCCCTTCTCCTCGTTCTTCTTGATCTCCTCGAGCATCTGCCCGACGTGAATCACCACCCCGTTTCCCAGCACCGACACGGCATTGCTGTTGATGATGCCCGAGGGGAGAATGTGAAAGTCGTACTCAATGTCGCCGACAACGACAGTGTGGCCGGCGTTGTTGCCGCCCGCACACCGACAGACGACGTCCATCTCATTCGCCAGCAGGTCGACAATCTTGCCCTTGCCCTCGTCGCCCCACTGGGCGCCCAGCACGCAGTACGCCTTGCTCCAGCCGTCCTGGGCGTCGGTGGTGGTGGCCAGGCCATTTCCGCTGTGGCCGTTGATCATCGACTTTGCCGCCACGCCTCCTCCCTTTCCATTGACCTGGGCGTGGTGGTTGTTGTTGCTGTCGGCGTGGCCGTTGCAGCCATTGCTGAGCTTGCCGTTGATGCCATTCGAGGTGGTCTCGTACATCACCGAGCCGTTGCTGCTTTCCATCTTCAGTTCGGTTTTATCCTGAGCTGAGGTGATAGCTTTGATGGTGATAGGCTTCAATTGGTGGGCTCTTCTTCGGATTCGAAGAGGAAGTGTTCTAGCGGGTGGAGGTGTGCTAATTAAAGCAGTCAGAAAGAAGTCTGNGAGGGTGACATGATGAGGTGCTTTCCTAAGCTGAGGTGTCTGTGTTGGGAAAAACGGCAAAAAAAAGTGGTCATTAGAATACCAAGTGAAAGCAAGTGACAACCGCCCAGCTCAACACTTACCGCTTCTTTTCCAGAGGGGAAAAAACTTTGCAGTGCCTTTTTCAACTTGAAGTTGCGTCGGTTGCAAGTGAAAGTCTGTGGAGAAATGGTAAATGGTGAAAATGATGACGATGAAAATAATGAGCAAAACACAAGACAATGATGCGCAAAAATGGGCACCTCTTGTTTATCACAAAAGCACGCAGTAGTAAAATTAGTTCACTCTGACAGTGGCAAAAACAGAATCAGCAACAATTCGCAACAATTCGCAACACAGTCGGCATGACACTGACACACAATTCTCGA